AATAATAATAATAATAATAATAATAATAATAATAATAATAATAATAATAATAATAATAATAATAATAATAATGATAGAACCACGCGGGACAGTTACCGCCTTCTGATAAGGCTGGCTACTTTATGCTATAGTACTTTCCATTTTGAATGGATCCTTTTTCTGATTATTTTACCTCTGCAGAAGAGTAATTGTATTCCACTTCAAAGTAAATTAATCACCACAGGTCTTCTGTCTAATGTGGTTTGGGGGTAATTTATTCTTGGAGTGTAATTTTTTTAGACATACTTTTACCACATAAGTGAATTTAAAAAGAAACGTTTTTCCCTCTGCTGAAAAAGGAGAAACAGCGCCCTCTCCTGAGCACTGGAGAGAAGGGCCCTCTCATTTTTATTACACTAAGATTCCTTTTAGTGGAACCTATTTGAAAGGTGCCTGCAAAGACGCATGGCTTGACTTGTGAAGGAGAACTCAACAAATAAACAATAGAATAGCAATTAATTCAATGCAGCAATTTATTTCCATTGTACATTTGTAACTGATTTCTCCAGTAACCTCCCCCAAAATAAGGGGCTGTTGATATGTTTTGATTTTTCGCAAACAGTTCCTTAATATTTCAAAAGAAATTTACTCTGCACATTTTCTTTTTAATTTTGTTTTCCAGAGAATTGCTATCCAGTGATGCTATGAAAGACTACAACAGAGCCCGGGTTTATCTGGATGAAAATTTCAAGTCACAGGAACACTTTACGGTACATTTCCTGGCACACTTTTTATATGTTATAGATGATTTCACTTACTCATCTTTACAAAAGGTGGCCTTTGTTAACCTTTAGATACAATTCCCAGTAATTTTGGTCAAATGTTGGTCAAATAAATTCTAGGAGTTGCATTATTCTCCATATTGGAGAAATATCGTTGAGGAAGGGTTATGTAAGATTTTTAGAGTTATTGCAGGGCAGAAGTATAGTGTATTTAATTTGCAACCGCAAATGTATTTAATAAGAGCACTCTAGATGTTAGCTTTATTTTTAAAAAGACAGAACAGGCATTAATAAAAGCTTGTAGCAGCAGTGTGATAATGGCTGGAGATAATACTCCACATAAAATAGATGACTTTACAAACCCATATAAGTAACAAAAATTTCAACTATGATAACAAAAAGCAGGCCAACATCTCAATCAACCAATGAGAAGCCATACCCAACCAGGCATCACATAAATACTACTCATGGAATATCCCAAAACACACCATCCAGTGGAGATCCCTGAGGACGGGCTCCAGCCCAGGTATGAAAGCTTAGAAGATTAAACCTTTGGTGTCCCGGTGATTGACCCAGATTTAATCCTGCAAAAAAATAATTACACATTTCAATTGCTTTCTAAGATAAAAACCATCACATGATAGTTAGATGCTAGTAATATATTATGCATATTATCATAAAATAATCATAAAATACAAGTTTACATAATTCTAAACCAGAATTGGATGCTGTCTGAAATCTTACCACCACCATTCCCGAAGATTTTGAAGTCATGGTTATAAAGTCAGAATTGTGGGTTGCTTGATTATAGATTGCTGTTGTGTTTGCACTGAAACTCCACATATCCTCAATAGAGCAACTGTCTCACTGACACATTCTCAAAAATAAATAACCCCACAAAACTCCTTATCGGTCAAATCAAAAAGAAACCAAATTAAAAATTGTAAACTAATTGACACAGTTTAAGAATCAGAAACTACCATATCTTCCCACAAATCCACAAGCAAACCCTAGCTATGTAAACAGCTGCCTGTATTCATCCTGTCCCCAGGCTTATAAGAACGTTAAAAATGACTTATCTTCTTAATGCCATTTTCATTTTTCTCAGATCTCATTCTGTTTGTTGCCAGGTTAGGAGAATACATGGTAGTTGTTCAGATGTTGATTTTGGACTATGTTCAAGTGCCAACTCAGTCATGGAGTCCCGGGTGACTTCAGGCCACTCTCAATCCAGTTGCTTCCTAGTCTATCCACTACTGCTTTGTGGATGGAATGAGGAGACCTCCAAGCATTCCATGCTGAATTTTCAGAGATAAGTCGTGATAAAAAGGAAATGAATGAATACTTGGTTTGTGGGAGAGAGTATTTTGTTTATAAGCATCTGTGTTATTGTCATAGCAGATAAGAACTATATGATATAATGAACACAAATGTGACTTGGTGGAATCAATTTATTTGAAAACCTGAACACTGAAAGTAAGAAGGGAAGAGTACATCAACCAAATATCACACACAGTGAACTAACAGAAATACATATGTAATGAATGCTGGAGATGTCTCACTTTCAATATAAATGCCCCTACAGTGATGAATTTCAGTACTTTAAGTTAATGTGACCTTTAAATAAGCCAGGGATTGTGCTGTAGCATAAAATAACATTACCTTAAAATCATGTTCTCCTGATTGCAAAAAATTCTAAAGTTAACTTTTGTTAGATTAATGACATTTGAGCAATATTTGCAGTCAGGCTTGCCTCAATTAATTGGCCATTAACTGAAAAAAGAAATTGAATTTATCTTGTATATAAATCCTGTATTATTAATGGCTTTCAGAAAATTCAGTGTGTTCCCAGAAATGGAAAACACATGCTTGATCTTGATGAGTGTATTATCTGTCAGAAGGAAAATTTCTAAATATAATAAAATGATTCAGGAAGACTGGTATAATTTAATTTAGTACAAGGAGAATTGAAATATTTGATTAGTTCATTTTAGATCATTTTACCTCTTGGGCTGGGGGTGGGTACATTTTCTTGACTCCTTCTATCCCCCCCCCCCCCAGCCTCTTGTGCTGAGCACACTTTCACCACGAGATGGAGCCAGGATATTACTTTTACACACAACTAAAGCTTCTTGGTGTGCAAATTATAGCAATCAGCTAAAGGATTTGGTTGCTGAATATTTCTTTTGCAAATTTGGAGAAATTCAGAAGAGTGTATTATAAATCTGGATCTGGTTTCCTGTGCCACATTTGGTTTCCAATGGTGACTGTCATCAGTGGAGTAGATTACTCTTCACTCCAAATCTCATTTTTTGCATGCATACACCAATTTACTATAGAGAGTGGAAACATTGAAAAGATAAGTCTTCTGACTCCTTTCTGTTCATCACCCCAACTAAACATCTAATATTTTATTATTTCTGTTTAAAATAATATTTCTCTTTCTAAAATGAACCAACAAAAATATACAAACTATTTAACCAGTAGATGTAGTAATTTTGTATATTTATTTATAAATATGGGATTGATATTTAAACTTTGTAATTTGAAAATCTAGCTGAAGTTCTATTTGGTTGCATTTTTGTTCTGTGCCATTTTTTTTTTTGAATAGAGGTGATTCTTTTCAGTCCTTCAGTCTCAAAGAATAATTTGACTGTTATCTCTTAAGTCAAAATCATATTAGGCCAGTTTAGATGACAACTTTATTTGAATGGGCATAGAAATTGTACCTCTTATTCCTATCAACAGTGCTCCCCATCTTCCTCTGGATGCATCACCTTAGTCGGATTTGCTTTTACCTACCAGTAGTTTCAATTGGTTTTATTTCACACAAGTCAGTTTTCAGGAAATGCCAGTTCTGAGCCTGTGCATGTTGGATTGGGAGAAGCCCTTTCAGGCAGCTAGTTTCTTTGTTATGTCTCTTCGTTATCCTTTCCTTGAAGCCACTTGCTTGAGTATCTAACTTTATATGAGTTCAAAAGAGATACTATTTGCCATCAGTTAGGCATGCAAAACGTCTTTGAAAGTTTTCAAAAATTCATGTGGCAAATCATTGTTGGAAGTGACTGTAAACTTTTATTTTAATTATATAATATGTATGTATGTACACACATGTGCATGTAAACATACTTCAAATATTTAATTGAGTTTTTTCAGCAAAAAATAATATATTGAATACAAATTTCAAATATAAATACAATTTTTCCTTATATGTTTTTTTTCTAAATATCATATGTTTGTCAGTAAAACACATAATTCTTTAAAAATAATTATGATGCTAAGAAATCCTTGACATTACAACAGAAACCTTTTTAATAGCTTTTCCATTGTGAAACCTGTTGACAATTTTTTTTGATATTAATAAACAGTCTACTAATCCTCACTGACTGTCTTCACTCCCACTTCCATTTGATTTTGGGCTGATATGCTAAACCAGACATGGTTTGCAAACCATTTATAGTTAGCATTTTGTATGAAACAAATAACAATGTTTTCTTCAAGCCATGGTTAAAACAAATGTGTGCTTTGGCATAGTCTTTATCATCAAGCAACCTTACGAAACTGTAGCCTCTTTTTCAGAGTGCAAATGTTTCACCTCCATATGAATATCTATAGCATCGGCATTCCAGCGCAAAGTTTATTGTTAAAGGTGCAACATATGAAGCTGCTGTGTTTGCGTTGTTTGCAGAACTAATTGCAAAGTTCTTTTGATCTTTCTGTGTATAACAGAGCACTAGCAAGAATCACTGCATAATCTATATACAGAATGTACATACAGAGTAACATAAGTAAATATGTATATGTGTATGTATGTATGTGTGTGTATGTATACGTGTATACGCACAACAAACACACACACACCATTCCAAACTGCCAAAAGTCTTCTTTTTGATATGGGTTGAGAGGAGGAAATATAATAATTTATTAAGGTATAAATGGAGATGCTACTCCAAAGATGCATACAAAACTTCACGTAGGATTAATATGAAAAAGATCCCTTCCTGATCTTTCTTGGTTGATTGATATTACACTGATTATTTAAAAATAGCTTCAGTTGTTTAGAAGAAAGGCAAAAACTCTATAATACTTTAATATTTTCTTACTGTGGATCTCCCCAAATAATGATGCAGACCTACGCATGTTGTTTTAATCAGTGATACAACTTGAAAAGTAAAAGATGAAAGAATATTATGGTTCAATTATAGAGAATACACTGTATATAAGTCATAAATTAAACTGTTGGTAACAAATCACATTCAGGTAAACAGCTCAGAAAATACCATGAGTCCAACCAAAGATTTTGGACCTGAAACATGGGAAGAAACAACATTTAGTTAATTTGCTTTGAAGTAACATTACACTGTTAATTGATTGATTAATTCTCAAATGTAACCTCTGGAGTAATTACATTGGAGCAAAGGGGAGAGAATGAAGGAGAACAGAAGAACAATATGTGGCAAGATTAAGATTAAGGTTAAGATTAAGGTATCGGGCTAAATTTTAATACCCTCAGTCTTATTTTGGCATTCAGCCATTCTAGACTGTACTCTATGACTGAAGCTTTCTTTCTTGTTGCCTGAACCTAGGCAGTTTTGACATAGCCAACAAGTTACAGATAGTCCTTGTATAAATGACTACAACTGGGATTGGGAATCCCATTGCTAGGCAACGTATCATTAAGTGAGGCATCATGGGACTGCACCTGACTTACAATCTTCCATTGCAGTCATTAAGCAAATCACCCATGGTCATCAGGTGAGAGGCATCAAGTGGCTGCAACTTGTGACTTCACCACCGGCTTCTTCATTGGTTTTGTCAGAAGTCAACTGTGATGCTTCCAAATGACAATCATGACTGCAGGCCGTTGTGATGGTCATGAATGCAGGCCAATTGTGAAGCATCCAGAGCTTGATCATGTGACCATGATGGTCATACGTTTGATGACGGGTCATAAAGCTAACTTTTTAAAGTACCATGGCAACTTCAAA